GACATGAGTTTGAGCAAGCTCTGGAAGTTGGTGATGGATAGGGAAGCCTGGCGTGCTGCAGTCCATGGGGTCACAAAAAGTTGGACACGACTTACTGACTGAACTGAACTGAAGAGACCTGATAAAGCAAGCAAGGTTCTTTGGTAATACAACTGTGAGAAACAGTGAAGAAGGTCTCTGTGTATGAATATGAAAATATCTCCCAGATACGCGGTTGAATGAACAAGGCAAGGTGCAGATAACATGTATAATACGCTACTTTTTGTATGAAAGGGGGAAAATAAGAACGTACATTTGTATTTGTACATGTATAAACAAAGAGCTTAGGAAAGATGCAGCGATGACCAAGATTACTGGATGGATGTGGGAACTCAGTGAACACTTTGCTTTTTAATGCCAGTGGTTGATACTGCCACTCTCTTCTTCTTCCCTTAGTAATAGAACCTTTCAGATTTTAGCTGACCACATGACCAGCCAGTTAAAAATCCCATTTCCTAGACTGTCTTGCTGCAAGGTGGGGCTGGTAACTAAAACCTGGCCAGTGAAATGTGGGCAGAAGTTATGTGTTCAATTTCTAGGATTCCTGCGATGTTCCCACTCTGGCAGCCTGGAACACAACCTGCTAATGGTGAATCAGTTTTTACCATGTGGGTGAGGACAATATTCTAGGAGATGGCAGGATAAAAAACAGAAAGGCTTGGGTCCCAAAATGACCCAGTGGAACAAAGCCTGCCACACCAGACCACTTTCCTCTCTCTGGAATTATCATGCCATAAAAGTTGTACTTCTGTCTCTGTATTTTGGGTCTCTTTTTTACAGCAACTTAGCCTGGACTCAGCTAAAATAGAAAATGATATTTAGATATGAGTTTCCATAATCAACAACAGTGCATTGGCTTAGCAGCTGGCAAGGGAAAATGGTAAGAAAAGAAACATTGCAGACTGACAAGCTGGTAATCCTTGTTATTACTGCAGCAAAAAACTTCACTAGAGCGTCAATAACTTGTAAGACAAGCCATGTGTCATCTGAACTTGTGCCTTTAGGGCAAACAGTGAGAAACAGGGTACTAATGGCTCCTCGATGTTTTTAATGAGCTACTACAAGAGTTAAGATGAAAATAAGCAAGAACTGGTCAGTGTGCAAGCAGAATATAGCATAAGGGTGTACATTCTGAGTTCCACAATATGAATTAGTTGAGACTCAAAACATTTGGGACCCAATGGGGCTGGAAAAACCAATTGCTCTGGACCCAAAAAGCAGGAGGCCTAGATTTTCTCTCAAAGCCTCCAAGAAATTCGCCAGTTAAGTATTCTCTGCCAGACATGAGCATCAGTTCATTTATAAAGATCAGATTTAGGCTACAGTCTCAAGACGGTTGCCATCAAAATGAGGCAAAGATGCGTTGCCCATGGGCAAAGAGCAGTAACTACTCCACAGTGCACTGACCTGAAAGCTTAGACCCAGAAGAGATGTTTGGCAGTGGGTATTTTGACCTGGAACTGACTGGAAGCAAACAGCCCAGAAGCCTGCTGAGTTTCTGAGGGGTCTGGACTGCCGCACGCTTGGCCTTGTGTAAGCCTGGGACTTTTCTGGTCCCTTAAAGAAACCACTAGACTTCCAGACCTACACCCGCAGGAAACATGTTCTTAAGCTATGCAGCTTTCTCCAAAGTTCTCCAAAGCTCAATTTAAAAGCAGTTACAGTGGGAAACAGATAAAGAATCCCCTAGAAGGCAAAGTGGGGAGCCATGGAGGAAAATGGACAAGGGGATTCTAGTGAGCAGAACCAAAGTGTAGCCAGAAGCTCCTGCTCTGTGACTACAGGACGTCTTTGCCATCCCTGCTGGGCAGAATTCCATTACCGTTATGATCTAATGACCGCTCGTATTTCTCATTCTTTTTCAAACAGGAGTTTGTATTACGGCTCCTGCTCTATCTTCTATGTTGCATTTGGGAGGTGGGGAGTGGAGGACTTGACTGTTCTTTCACAGCTTTTCATAGTAAGAGGAACCATGTCCTGATTGCCTCATATCACACAGAAACCTTAGATTTTAGACTGCCAGCATTAACTGGATGAGACTCTGATGTCTCAGGATGGAAGGAATGTACTCTGTATGTGGGAAGAGGAATACACACAGATACTTGGGTTGCCAGGGGGGCAAACTGAAGCAGAGGCTGCTAAAATTTCCCCTAAGACCATCCTTCTTCCTATACAGAAGAGGAGCCCCCCGTGTTAACTGGTCACAAGGTCCCCCAGTCAGAGACGACCCTCCCCGGTGTCCTTTGCTGTCAGCTGTGTCTTTGTGATTGAAGACTTGACCGTGGGTTATGAGAAGTTATGTATGGAACTTCTGGCTTTTCCCTCCTACCTGTGGGCTGCAATGCAGATCTTGTGGTGGTGAGTGGCTCTGAACAGGTGAGAAGGGCATCTGAGAACACAAAAATCTCTCCTAGGAGAGCAGTGTGGGCCCCGGATGATTGTGGGAACAGTAGGCTGCCCACACTGATCACCTGCCTACTTCTAGACCATTTCATGGAGAAGAATCTTCTGTCTTATCTGAACCAGTGTATTTCAGGGCCTCTGTTACCACCATTTAGCCAGGACTCTAACTAACTTAATACCTCCTTATAATTTTGGGCTTTTGAACCAGGAGAATGTATTGCCTCCTTGGGAAATTAATTTTTCAAAAGGAGTAATAATTTTTTTAAAGTGTCAAGATCCCAATAAAAATGTTCTTTTCCTCAGTATTACTTCTGAGACACAAAACTCAGGAAATATTTCAAATACAGAAAAGTATATATCACAGCTCCAAAATGTAGAGGAGCAGTTAAAAAAAATTAGAAACATGCCAAATGCTCAACCACAGGGAATAAGGGATGGATTAATGGGACAGCTCTAACATTCGACCGCTATTAAAATAATCAGCAGGGACTTCCCTGGTGGCCCAGTCATTATGAATCTGCCTGCCAATGCAGGGGACACGGGTTCGATCCCTGCTCCGGGAAGATCCCATATGCCGTGGAGCAACTAAGCCCGTGGACCACGACTACAGAGCCTGCGCTCTAGAGCCCGCGAGCCACAGCTTCTGAGCCCACATGCCACAACGACTGAAGCCCTCACACCTGAGCCCGTGCTCCTCGACAAGAGAAGCCACTGCAATGAGAAGCCGGGGACCCCAACCAGAGAGTAGCCTCTGCTCGCCGCAGCTAGAGACAGCCCGCGCGCAGCAAAGGAAACCCAGTGCAGCCGAAGATGAATACATAATTTTTTTAAGCCATCAAAGTGAAAAATATGCAGGACAATGGCAAGAAAACCTGAGCATAACTGGTGTTCCTGAAGAAGAAGGAACAATGCAGAGAAAAAGTTGAGTATTTCATGGTAGAAGAAAAAGTTCCTGAAATTAAGTCATGTCTCTGGATCAAAAAGGAAGAACTATTCCAGAAAAAAAAAAAAAAGTTCAGAAACATCACAGATAAAGCATCTATAGGGACCTAGACAACAGAGGCTTTTCTGAAACCACCAGTATCAGAAGACAGCAGAACAATATTTACAGCATCTGGAGAAGAGAAGAGAAAAGATGTAAGAATCTTATACCCAAGCCAAGAGTAAAGGGGAAAGACCAACAGCATTAAGCATGCAAGATTTCAGAGGAGGCAGCACCCACGATCCTTTTATGACAAAAAAAAAGTGCTTGATGGCAAAATCCAACCAAGAAATGTATCAGGAGCTCAGTAAGTCAGTTGAGCCAGGGATGTGGTTGTAAACATATAAATGAGACTTAAGAATCATGGGAATTATGATTACAGAACTAAATGTAATAAACCTCACAATATATAAAGTTAAGAAAAAAATTAGGGGAGGAGTTCTGGGGAAAAGTATAACATAACTGACTGTCTACACCTAAAACACAACCTAAAAACACCAATGACACCTACACAAAGATTTGTATACTTTATTGTATATATGCCATTTCTCAATAAGAATAATACTGTATCTTCATGTTTTTTCAGAATCTTTTGTCTTTAACTTGGGAGGAATATTCCAAGAAATAATACATCTTACTGTGAAAAAAACACTCCAAATTTGACAATTTCTTCAGTTTCACTTACTCTTTTCCTCTGATATATACAAATACATTAAACCAATTCTACTTTTGGAAAATTATGTTTTTTAGAATGACATTCACTGAATATTGACAATGGATATTTCATCTTACTAAGTGCTAAGATTTGGGAGAATTTTAAAAGTTCATTTGTACTTTTAACTAATTTTTAAATAATAAACATCTTCCCCACAAACTACATTTCATATTATTTCAAAGATGCTGATCAAGAAAGACAGTTATATGAAAAATTAAAATAATGACATATTTTAAAAGGATGGGATGTTAAAAGTATGTATAGTGTATGGTGCCAAGTATATAAATAATTTTTTAAAGTACACACACACACGCATACCAGAAAAGAGGCAAATGTGCTAAAATTTTGACAGTGCTTCAGGGATTAGTGATAGATTTCTTCCTCAAAAATCTGAAATAAAATTAGGTTACCCACATAATGGGGAAAAATATGAAATAGTAACAGTTTTGCAGCTTCTGTTAAAAATTCCCTTCCTATTAATTCCCTCCCATGATAACGATTACTCCAAATAATAAATGATGAGTCTTAAAAGAGTTGAGGGTGGGAGTTGGAAGGGAGGTCTAATTGTGGTTGAGGGGAAGTAAAGATCACTGTACACGTCAACAAATTGATTAAACAAAACTGATGATAGTGTTAAAATAAACTGAAAGCAAAATCGACCCCAGCTTTCACTCGAGAGTGAAGGATCAGTACGCAGGACGCAGGCTGAAACACAAAGACCACCGCCGGAGGCATGAAACTTGGCCATGGAAGTTCCCGGACAGGCACCTACTGCTCTGATTGATGCACGACCTTTAACCCCGAGGGCTCATCACCATCACCCGCCGGCCCCCGCCGCCTCCCGGCCCGTGGCCCACGCACCGAACTTGGTTCTCCAGGAAGTGCATGTGCCGGTACAGCAGGGTGTAGGATGGAGACAGGATGCCCACGGACTTCATCCGCGCGCCACGCTCCAGCTCGCTTTCTACCGGCATGTTGGCGAAGCAGGCCAGGCCAAAGAAGGGCCCCTTCCGGAAATAGCTAAAAGAAACCCAATATGTAGCATAACTCAAAATCAGGAATTTTGGTCTTTTCCCTTGACAGGTGTGCTAAAGTCACTTCAGTGTCCAACTCTTTGCGACTCCATGGACTGTAGCCCACCAGGCTCCTCTGCCCATGGAATTCTCCAGGCAAGGATACTGGAGTGGGTTGCATGCCCTCCTCCAGGGGATCTTCGCCACCCAGGGATGGAACCTGCATCTCTTATGTCTCCTGCATTGGCAGGCAGGTTCTTTACCACCAGGAGCATCTGGAAATCCCTTGAGAGGCATCCCAAATAGAAGATGTAACTGTGTCCAGGGCTCTATATGAGAAAGTTCAGCCTGAGAAAAACCTTTTTTAAAATCTCGGGGCGGGGGGGGTGGGAATCTCAGGGGGACAATGAGCCCAAGCCATTCAGCCGTACAGATGGGACAATCAAGGCTCAAAAAAACCCTGGAACTCACTAAGGGTTGTCCCGCTGGAGCCAGGACTTGCTCTCCGCAAAGCCTGCTGTTCAGCTGCCCTTGACCCCAGATCAACTGCCTGTGACCATGACCCTTCTTTCCTGCATAACAGCTGACTTGATGTGTGACCTCTGTTTTATTAGCATAAACCGTGTTGATTCTCTCCTCGCTTCCTGAGTCTCTGATGTTTTTAATAGAACGTTTGACCAGAGCTGTCACACGTTTTCCTTCCCCTTTCTCACACTTGTGCCTGTCACGGTTTCAGCCCAATGAGAAGATGAAAGCTACTCCGTCACCCTTATGTTCCAGTTGTTCCTCACAAGAATCTTAATCACACAGGACTACAAATTGGCCTTGCTTAAAGATGAAATTTCAAGTTTTAGCACATACATGTCTTGAGTTAACCCAAATGGAACCAAAACCTCAAGCGAGATCATTAAAGCCAAACCTCAAGCGAGAATCAATCATCTCTTAGAAAAGGCAAGAACCTCTATGGCAGGAGTTCTTAACGTTGTTGGGTCATGATAACCTAACGAAAGCTTAGGAGCTTCTTATTACAAAACTGATATAAAAACACACAATGGTACATATATCTTCAGGGCACTTGTACACACTTCCTAAAGATGCCCTGATGACAGCTCTTATTCTCTGGGGAAAGCAGAGAAGGAGAGGAAACAGTGCAGAGCAGACTGGCAATCAGCACTACTTACATGAAATCAGACTGAATTTTATGGGATCCACTAGCCATAGACTTGAACTCCACGCCTTCAAGGTCAATATCTTGGGGTAAGCACCATTCCACCATGTTTCCTGCAGGAAAGGGAAGATACAAGTTTAAAACAGACAAAAATCATTCAAAGGGCTTAGTACAGGGCCGAGCACATGTGGCTTCCAAGTAAATGAACTGCTGACTCAGCCACCAAAATGCAGCCTCATCCCTCCACCGGCCACAGGCTGGCAGAGTGCCTGAGTCATCCTGCGGGCCGGGAGATGGGCACTGAAGACACCTCTGATCTCTGCCTTTGAATGAACACAGTTCTTCCGAGCGAGGCTGCTGGCTTTGCTTCTGCCATTCTGCTCGGCCACCTCCTGATCTCCTTTGTTTTGGAGCCTCATTTCTAGGTACATGTTTTGACCCTCTACCTCCATTTCCTGGTCTCATACTCTCTCCTTAACCCCTCAAGATCCTGCTTCCATCTTGCTTTTCTATAGCCACTAATGATTTTGACAAGCCTCCAAACTCTTTTTTAAATCTTTTTTAAAAATTTACTTATTTGGCCGCGCCAGGTTTTAGTTGCAGCATGCAGAATCTTTAGTTACAGCATAAGGGATCTAGTTGCCCAGCCAGGGATAAAACCTGAGCCCCCCCTGCACTGGGAGTGCAGAGTCTTATCTGCTGAGCCACCGGGAAGTCCCCCAAACTCTTTTCAATTCAAATTGTCATTGGTTTCACTGTGGCATTTGATAATTCCTCAAAAGTCTCTCCCATTTTTCCCTTGACTCCCATGATGGAACACTCTCTTGGTTCTTTTCCTTCTTCTCTGGCCAGTGTAGCCCTGCTGCCTTCCCTAGCTCTCCTCCCTCCTCAAATGAGGCTCTTCTCCAAGGTCCAGACACCAGTGCTTTGCTTCCAGAATTTAAGGGCTCATTCGCTTATCCCTAATTACTGAGTTTCTGCTGAGCCAGACATTAGAGCTGTAAGTCAAATAAGACATAGTCCCTGAACTCGAACAGATTAGCTTCCAGGGCTAGACAAAGAGATAAACAAGGAGACTGGTGATTACAGTTCTGGAGGTTATGTTAAATTCCATGACAGAGTATAATACAGGATTTTAGAATATAACAATGACAAGCTTCCATCAGATTGAGAGAATCAGAGAATTTCACAAGACCAGTGTTTCCTAGAGGCTTGGGAGGACACGACAGCATATGCCCTGCTGTTTTCTAGCATATTCAAAGTTTTTCCAAATAAAAATATTAAGATACTTGTAAAGATTTCATTTTAGAACAAACTGCTCATCAACATGGCAAACCCTAATTTCCCAGGCAACAGAAATACCATTAATAATCCCAGACAACAATGCTTTTCAGATTAACTGTTTGGGGCATCAGAGGTCTGACTGTATACAACCCAGGCTCTGAACGGGGTGGACATCACAGGGACTCAGCCTATTCTATATTCACAGCCTATGGCCCTTTCAAGTAGTTTGTTTTCAAGAGAGGAATCATAAATCCCAATGATGAGCTAAAACAAAAAGCATGGAAAAAGGAGTTATGATTTCACACAACAGAAAGGCTAGACCAATGTATTTGTCAGGGTTAAAGACAAGAAAAAGCATGCTGCATGCTGAACCAGGGGTAAGCATGGGGAGAAAGGGAAGGTTTCCAGCACCAAGGTCCCCCGACATGCCTGTCTTTACCCTTAGCATCCATGTCTCCTGTCTCTTAAGTCCAGTGGCGTCCACCCTGTGTTGTACCTCCGGAAACCCAGGAAACTTACAAACGTGCTGAGACCCACTCCAAATCTACACGATCTACTCCAGATCTATGATCTGTGCCATATGGCTGCATCTGTTGATAAGCCTCCTGTGTACAAGGTCCCAACTCTTTTTTAAAATAATATTTATTTATTTATTTGGCTGCACCAGGTCTTCGTTGCAGCATACAGGATCTTTGATCTTTGATGCGGCATGCAGGCTCTCTAGTTGCAGCATGTGGGATCTAGTTCTCCAACCAGGAATCGAACCTGGGCCCCCTGCATTGGGAGCACAGTCTTGGCCACTGGACCACCAGGGAAGTCCCCAGGGTCCTAACCCTTCATGATGGCAACAGATGTCCAGCCGAAGAGAGGGACAGCCTGCAGTGACCCTCTAGGAGACCCCGTCCTCTCATATCTGTTTCTTCTAGTATCTGCTGCCTTGTTCCGCGTCCCTATGCCACTCCATACAAGGGATCAACTTGCTCTAACTTAATTCCCTTCCTCTAATCCAGCAGGTCCATGAGCACTCAATGACTTGTTAAACATTAATGCATCTAAACATTGTCCTGAAGGATAAGCTTAGAAAAGTGCACAGATCAGAACTATGTGGCACAGTGAGTTTTCCCATCGTGAACATACCTGGGTGAGCAGAACCCAGACCAAGAAGCAGGACATTATCAGCACAGCAGAAACCCATCTGAGTCGCTAGCCCTCTCTCAAGGCTAACTATTATCCTGACTTCTAACACCACAAATGAGCTTTGCTGTTTTTGAAATTTACATAAATGCAATCATCATTTGTATTCGTGTCTTTTTTTTGCTCCATATTTTTTGCAAGATTCATCCATGGGGATGCATATAGCAATATTTTGTTAATTTATTATTTCCATCCTATGCTAGTGACACAACTTACGTACCTACTTAACTGTTGACGCACACTTAGCTTATTTCTAATTTGAAGCCATTAGAAACAGCACTGCTGTAAACAATTCCATACTTGTCATCTGGTGACTGCACATGCAGTAGCTTTGTAACGCATGACCCGGCTGGGCTAGTACACATTTCTCAGAATTCCCTTCTTTGTATGTTTGCAGTTGAGACGGGGAAGGGAAAGTGAAGCCATATGATGTTTGCGTGGGAAGGTCAGTGAGGGAGCTTCAGGTAAGCTGACACCTGGTGCTTATCGTGCAGGCTCATCACACTCTGGTGGGGCTGGGGCACCAGGTCTGCTGCTGATGTATCTCCCTCCCCTGGACCCTCTTTCGGCCTCTGACTCACACCCCAGGTACACGCTTAGTTCCACAGTGAAGGGCATCAGCGTCATCAGGTCAGGACACCGCGTCATTAGAACTGGAGGCAATGACAGACTGGCCGTTCCCACCCACTCTCATGAGTTGCAGCTTATTCTCCTTTTCCAGTTTCTTCTGCTTTACTCAAGAGACCTCCAGCTCTGCAATCAGATACAAAGACAGCAGCCTCACACAGACTATCTACCCAGCTCCCACAAATGCACAAGATCAATAAATCCCTTTATTTATCTCCAGTGGTTCTGTTTCTTTGACTAAACCTTGATTTTGACTGACACAACGTGCACACGTTTCTGTTGACAAAATCCCTGGGAGTGAAAGTCTTGTAAAAATGTTTGCATTGCTGCAAACTAAGAAAAAACTTCAATAATTCCCAAAGCAGTGTTTCCCAAAGCTTAGGGCTTCAGCAAATATATATATATATAAAGGGATTTTTCAGGTTAAACAAAGACAGACATGTTCTTTTACTGCAGAACTTCTCAGAGCCTTTAATGTTATTCTGCATTATGAATATCTACAAGATCAATACCATGCTTAAAATTCCAAAATTATTCTGCTGATAAACCTATTTTTAAGTAGCATCTTAAGGGTTCAATCTTATAGAAGGCTCTTTTTTAATAAAGAAATACTAGTATTTAAGGGGCTGCAAGTTGACTCTTAGTACATATCACTCCACCTTTCTTATAGGGAATAAAACTTATTCTTAGCATGGCATATGGTCTTCCAAATGATGACTATGTTTCTCTGCACCTTCTTGTAAATAGGAATGGCTACACAAGTAAATTCTGGCTAATGGAATCTAGACAGAAATGAGGTGTGTCTTTCTAAAACATGCCTTAAAAGAAAAGCATATGCTGCCCCCTTCTTCCATCCTATTGCCTGGCATATGGATGTAGAGACAAGCCATCTTGCATCACATAGGTGAGGGCATCAGCCCACATATCACAGAGGGGATGGTGGAGCAATAGCCAGCATGAGTCTAGGTCCGTGGATGACCTCATGGACCTGAGCCGGCACTCCAGCCCTGGACCACTGATCTCCTGTTAAGTGAAAGCTAAACTTTTATCTTGATTAAGTCACTGTTAATTTGGGTCTCTGGTATTCATCTTTCCTGGTGGCTCAGTGGTAAAGAATCTGCCTGCCAATGCAGAAGACATGGGTTCTATCCATGGGTTGGGAGATCCCCTGGAGAAGGAAATGGCAACCCACTCCAGTATTCTTGCCTGGAAAATCCCATGAACAGAGAAACCTGGCGGGCTACAGTCCATGGGGTCGCAAAAAGTCAGATATGAATGAGCGACTGAGCACGTACACTTCTGGTATTCATGGCCAAACATATATCTTAATATACGTTAGTACATATATTAATACAGCTTATACAGCTTAATACAGCTGATCTGAAGAATAAAGCCCCCAATTCCTCAGCCTAGTTCTCAAAGCTTCCTTCTTATTCTTCTGTGCCTGGCCAACCCTCGTACAGAAATTGAAAGAATCAGATGAAGGGAATGACACTCTGCTATTTGCATCCTTCACTGCTAGATGGGTGCAAGGCCCTCTCGGTTGGGAAGGAAGGTCCATCACGGTCAGGCTGAATCATAGAATGGAGTGTGGACTCCAGGACACCACTCTGGGAACGGTTCTTTATCCCACAGAAAGAACATTTCTGCTGACATACTCCTTGAATGAAAGGAAAGTAGATAAATCTACTATGGCCCTCATCCCAGCCTAATACAATCACTGTCTTAGATGTCTGTCTCCCAAGGAGACTGGACTTCTTAAAAGCTGGAACTCTGCTTGTTTATCTTTATGTCCCAACAGAGCACAGCGCTTAGCATATGACAGGATGAACATTAAAACAAAAACAAAACCCAGCTTTACTGAGGACAAGCATGATTTTAAAAAGCTAGTGGTAATGATAGCCTGGTTTTTAAAAAAGTTTTTGTTTTCTAATGTGGGACTGTTTTTAAAGTCTTTATTGAATATGTTACAATATTGCTTCTGTTTTATGTTTTTGGTTTTTTGGTC